TTTACGTGTAATATTATTTTATAAAAAATTGTGTGGTTGAAAATAGGAGATCGAAAATGGAATGAAATGTAATGTAATGAAATTTAATGTAGGCCAAACGACGACTTATTTTGTATTTATTGACTACAAAACACGTGTAACTACTTTCAGTTAACGTTAGTGTAAAATTTTCGATAAGGTGTGTTTTATGTTGTGATTTTACTTGCAAACAATTTATGAAATAACATTTTATATAAACTTCTTGGACACTGCCTTTGCATTTTTCTTTAATCCTCAACGTTTTCACTCCGTAAATTATCTTAAGAAGAAAATTCTTAACTTTGGTTAAATTGATAGTGTCTACTCCTCCACCCTCGTAGCTGAAGTAATTTGGGAGTTAAATATGGGGAAATTTAGTGAAAATTTGAGCGATTTGAAGTTTATTTATTAGTTCGTAACGATGGCCCATCTTACTTTTGGGAAAAGATTGTCACCGATGAAGGAGAGAGGGACGATGATAATTGCAATTTGGAGCTTTTATTCGTGGCACGGTTCATTTGGGAAAACAAGAGAAAGGGAGGGGAAGATGACGACCTTTGCGAATTTGGGAGTTTGGATGCATATTATAATGAATAAGAAGGCAAAATGCTATTTAATTTGAATAAAAATTAGATTTTTAATATGTTGTAATAAATATTGGTGAGACGTGTGGTTGAAAATATGATAAGAGTAATTAGTCATATGACAATGTGATTGAAAGTGGGTTTAAGAAAAAATTATCAATGGTATCAAAAAACCTCCCTTTTGCTTTTCATTAATATTTTGATTTTGATTTTCATTACCCTTTCATTTTATTCAAATTTCAAAGAAGCAATTTTCTTGGTATGAGCCAAAGTTTCGAATTTTAAGAAATGAAGACCAAACATGAGTGAAGTGATAATGGGAGGGTTGGAGAGGGCATATGGTCCTTGTTAATTCGATAATAACAATGGTGATTATATTCAAATCACATCTTAGACTACATTTTAATTGCATTGAAGGTCATTAACTTTTATTCATTATCACATTTATATCTTTAATCTTTTTTCATCACGTTCATATTTTTTTACATATTATTAATCAGAAGATATTATCTTTAATCATGATTTCCTTTTGAAAATATTATTAATGTGCTTTAAAACAATGATCAAATATGTAATCATGTTTTTGCATTTTTAATTTTTTTTCTTATTTAAAAATACAATGGACAAATGAGTCTTTTTACTTCATTGTAAAGAAATTATGGAGAAAAATCATAATTATGAACATTTATGTTAATTTGGGAGTAAGATTTAAATTAAAAAAATTTTGAGATATAAATGTTGTGTAAAGATCATGAACTTTCTATAAAATTGAAATGTAGTTTACTTATTGAAAATCGTGATGTAAACGTATTTAAAGCCCATTTGGCATAACTTCTATAAAGTCAAAACAAGCTTTTGAAACCTAAAAATTACTTTTGAACCCTTTAACTAATTTTATGAAAGTGGTTTTGATAGTTAGAATAACTTTTAGAGGATGCCAGTCAAATGTGATTTTCTTTAAAGGTAATTTCAAATAGGAAACTCATTTAAAAATTAAGATAACTCTCTTTAAAAACTCATTTACAGGAAGTAAAAGTTATGCCAAATTGATCCTCAGTCAATAGCAATTAGCAATAATCTTTTTTTTTTTTTTTAGAGTTGAAGTTAAACCATAAATACGTGTCCTTGTTTGAGCTCCTTTTTTTTTTTTTTTTTTTTTGTCAAAATGCATTTTAAAATAATATTTTGTTGGAAAATGTGTGATTAAAAAGTAAAGAAAAAAAATTAAATTTACGCGTAAAATTATTTTATAGAAAAATGTGTGCTTGAAAATAAATTTTGAAAAAATAAATTTTTGAAAAATAGAGTCAAACGGAAGTACATTGTAATTTTCACAAGTGAGATTTACATGGATGCAGGTTTTTAAAGATTCCTTTTCAAAAATCAACTTCAAAGGTTTTTTTTTTTAAATACAAAATCAGGTGATAATTCCAAAATTCAATATTTTAATAATATTATAAAATTAAATAATCTATATACCCACTCACCATACCTCCATCCACCTAAACACGAATAATTTTTATCACTCTTTTCCATCTATATATATCTACATTTCCTCTTTTTTCTCTTTACGACATAGTTTCTGAAATCAATTTCAAAAATCAACTTCCTTCTCTCTCTCTACCTTCCATCTTCTTTCTCTTTACAACACCCCACCACCGAATTTCAAAAATCTCACACATACTACAAATATCAATTTAAAAATCGAACTGC